CCTGCTAGTGTATAGGAAAACTAAACCGAAATGATTAACGTCTTCGAGGAAGACGATCTAGTTGCCTGGATAGCGCCAAAGCTAGGGCGAAAAAAACAGATGGAAACGAATCAAGTGACGTCAACTTCCGGTGAACTACTGATACAGTTACCCACACTGAAACCGACTCAGCTTTTCACTAGCTGCACACTGACCAGCTAGTGACTACAGCCACACACGCAAGTGGAGGGCGGTCGATCGATGCCCAAGAAGACGATGAAAAAGTCATAGTTTAGCGCGCTGCTAGCGGATCTCATGACGACTCCTACTATACTTTGCACAAATACCTTCTCTCTCTCGATGGCCATTACCCATGTCATTTTTGGCACGATCTTTTTTTTTTTTTTTTTTGCCTTCTCCGTTACTGCAGCAGGAGCAGGAAGTCGCGTGAGTGTACGCGCAATTGTCGACGTCATTCCAATATTGCTGGCTTGCATCCAACTTTGCTCAAGCAGTCTCTCTCTGCAGCCATCCCTCTGTAACCGTCTCGCACACCGCTGCTGACGCGCGTCACCCTGCTGGGTTGACCCCCGCGTGTCACCTTCGTGGTACCCACTCCCCCTCGGCTCGGTTGACAGAGCGCTTCTTCGTCCCTAGGGCCCCGCAGCTTGTAGCATTTTCATGGATTGCAGCCGTGCGCTCTCGCAGTTTGCAAGCCACCGTAGCTAGCTCTCACTGGCTGCGTCACACAATGCGACAACTAGAGCAGAAAGGTGCCGTCAACAGAAAACTTTTCACCTTCCCCCAAGAATGTCTGACTTCCTCTCTTTTCTCCCACGCTCACCCCCGAGCCACGTAGCTCGCCTCTCACGTGTATCTGCCTCGAGAGCCGGCCCTCGTGTCTCGAAACTGGCCCATGAAGACTTGCTGCGGCTCGGTAGACACAAGACGCCGCGAGTGAGCGTGGAAGCAGCGGTTGACATCAACCGTATCTAGCAAGGTCGCCCTCTGCTCATCTGCACTGCCTCTCCCCTTCGTTGACCTTCTACCTCACGCGTGTAGCGGACCTCAGGTTGGCCTGTGAGACCAGCCCCTTGGCCTGTTCTCACAGGCCTGTGTTATATTCGGGGTAGGCCAGTCCAGGCCAGTACCTCTGTCGGTACCAGCCAATCCAGTCCAGTCCCGTCAGTCCGCTGGGGTATATCCCAGCCATTGTCTGTTTATGCCTCATTCCTCACTTGCACATTTTGGAGTACGTGCGTTGGAGTCTTGCGTGGGGAGCTGCATTGTGCCATCTTGCTCCCCCTTCTTCCTCCATCTCCATCTCTGTCACTAGCGGAGCACCACACCTGGTGGGTCCACTACATTGGTATCGGAGCGGGAACGGTCCCCGCCCCCACCCACCATACCGCACAACAGCGAAATACGGTAAAACCCGACAGTCGGGTTTTCGGACGCCAAGGCCAAGGCCGCCGCACGCGCGCCACGCGGCCCCGCTGCCCCGCCCCGCTCCCGGATTTATATTATCAAGATGCGGGATGCAACTGCTGCTGCCGGGGTTTGAACCCAGGCACTTGCTGAGCCATGCGCGCGCGTAAGCAGCCTCATAACACACTCGGTACAGTGTGTCCATGGCTT